CTGTATGTCAAGGGGTTAATCTATGTAAAAAATATTGCTTTCTCAATTGTAATGTAATCTAATCACATGATGTCATATAGTTCCTTCGAAATCCTTATATGTTTAATATAATTAAATTCTTGTGTATTACACATAGGATAATTTAAATAATTAATTTAAAAAAAATAGAAATGTTACTAAAGAAACATATTTCTAGAAAATATTCTATTCTTACAATTAGATAAAGGTACCAATAAAGGCGTCGTTTAACTTTAGAATTAATTGTACAAATGCGTTCGAGAAACGGGTACGAAAATCCCCTCTTTTGCTTTCGGTATTCAAGATTTGATGTGTTTTGTTCCGTGGCAAGAATGCTCATGGTTCGATGGCCATGAACGCGTGTATTTACTTCGATAAGGGTACCAACATGCAACATGGGCGCGTATGCAGAAAACGAAGCCGTGCCAACAACACTGGCAACGATATAAAATCATGAATGGTGCTGTTGTAAACGATATCGAAACGCAACCCTCTGTTTCCGTTTTATCCAATAATAGATTTCCCCTATTCTGCGGTTTCCCTTTATTCGCATGAAGGATTATGTTACACGGTTGTTCGATACGGTTATGAAGTTGAATGTAGTGAAGGATAAACTTAACCTAAACCGAATGGAAAAATTATTAGGTTACTTTCTCAAACAATCGAAGAATACATATTTTTACAGTAATGTCTATTTCGACAAATCTAGGACAAGTTTTAATTAAGTATTAGTTTTACGTTACCTGTATAATTATTTACAGTTTCTTTGTAAGGCAATCAAAAGTAAATAGTCATGCGGGCCACTAGTTGCAAATACAAATGCATGGGGGAACTGAAATGCATAGCCAGCGATTAATCGTGGCTGCTCGAAGCGTATAGCAACAGACCGTTATCTGAAACACGTATGACGATAAACTTGAAACTGTGATCCGGTATATTCGAGAAATGGCCTGTGTAGAAGTGAGCATGCCTTGGATAGTTTGCAAATTAAACGACACACAGTTTTATATTCTCTCGAGAAGAGTTTCTAAATCATCCTACAAAAATTGAAATGTCATTGATTCACATAGTATGTTTACATACACGATCACTTACGAAATTGTTCGAACAATTACGGACATGCATTTTATTGCAAATGTTGTACAAAACATTTCATTGAGACTATATTAGTAAAATTGGAAAGAGTATTTATAACAAACAGAGGAATCTTTGAATTCATTTTTAATATTGTCAAAGACAATTGTTATATATACATTTGTTATGTATATATACACATGTTATATATACATTTCAAATGTCCGAATGTCCAAAATGTTTTATATAACACATATATACGATATGAATACAAGACCCTACAATTTCATGAGCCATCATGAGTACAATACAAAGATACAACATAATGCAACTGTTATTTTTCACCTGTCCCTACGAACTTTTTGATTACAATTGTTACAAGGTTAAGCTCCCAAAGCGTTGTTAACCGCGGCAAGCAATGTTAGAAACAAAAGAAAAGAGATGTAATCTAACCTCGTCGGTAATAATCGGTGCCTTGTCCATGTTATCGTTGATCGGGCTGGGTGGCGACGTGGGGCTAGCACTGGGGCTTACATGAAACCCCTTCGACTCCTTGGCAGGCCTCTGGGGGGACACCCTCGCGGGGAAGCTCAAGGTTTTCGTCCACTGCGGCAGACCACGCACCATCTTTTTTTCTTTGTTTTTTCTTTTGTCCAAAATTTCACCGATACAACAATAATACTAATATACGTGTATTCTTAACTGAGTGAGTTCAATGCGCGACTGTTTAAAAAAAGAAAAGTTGAAACACACGAAATAACAACGCGAGGGATCGATATTAAGTAATTTTCACAATCGCGAATCTCAGTCTTCGCGATTTTCAATGAAAAAAAAAAGTTCACCTCGAAGCGTTAACTGATCGCTTGTAAATATTAATAACTGTTTCGAGAGATCGGCTGGCGTGTATCCGTGTCGTGACACGCACGGAAACGGTTTGCTAGCACGCGCGCCAGCCAACGCACGCCACGAAGTTTACTGACAGACTGTCGAGCACCGTCCGATCAGTCGGTTCTCTCTGCAGAACGGTCGCGTCATGCCCGCTGGACCAAGCGCGCTGATTGGTAGATTCGATAAAGAGCGACAGACGACGCGCACACGACGAGGACAGACACAGTGGAAAACGGCCAATGGGGTGGTTCGTAACGCGAGATGGAACAAGACGAAATCAGCGAGATTCGCGCGAGATGAACCGCGACCGCGATACAATTTTCAAAAGATCCTCCATCGAGAGAGTCCGTTGCCTTCTTGTCTCTTTCTTCGTTCCAGTAAACGAAGGGAAGGCAGAGAACGAGAGAAGCCTGTATCAAGTATTCGCGAGACAAGGAAAGAGACTGAGCAGAAGACGGTGAATGAAAGAACGTGTGAAAGAGATTATCGGATATGTGGCACAAGTACAGTCGCCGCTGCTTCACGGGTCGCGGTTTAGAAATCGTTTAAGGTTACCTGGAACGTTCGCATCGGCCAGTAAAAATTATTTTTATATCAGAATATCATGTATATGTAAGTGATAAAATGTACTCTTTAATCATCTTTGTCTCTCGTAGGAAATTTCAAAGAAGTAAGAAGAATTTTCCTAAAAAAATTTGTAAAAGAATATCAGAACATTGTAAGAATGTATTTTATTGGTAAGATAAGTTATGTGCTCTCATAAAAAACAAATTACCTGTTTTTCTTTCTGTTTCACAGCTCGCAATCTAATAACTAATCAAGATTATATCGATATAGGATTTAGTAATCTGAAGCTAGGTAGTCGAAGTTTCTATCAAAGCGGTACTTTTACTGGTATCCTTTCAAGAGACAAAGAATTTGTCCGCAGCGATAGCGACCCGTGATCAGTAAAGACACTCGTGTTGCCAACTGCAGATCCGCCAGGATGGTGGGGAGGGAAACGACACTGTAAGGCCCAACTGGCAAGGCATGTTTCTTACATTCAGCCGCGTTCAGCTGTATGTACGCGGACAGGATCTAGCCAGCTGCGGCCTTCTTCGACCTTCCCCCCACCAGGTCGGAATCGAGCCTTCTGGCCAGCTACACGACCGGTACTTCAACGTTCTAACAAGGAATATCCGCGAAGACTCCACCTTCGATCTTCGTGAAGCAGTATCTCGCCAGAACAGTCAAAAGACGGGTTACCTTTGTGATATCTTGTCCCTTTGCGCTTTTGTAGACTGCTTGATAATAATAAAACGAACGATTGATTTTGTCACGTAGAGTGAAGTTATCAATAGAAAAAAAAAAAAAAATAAATTGTAGAAAAGATAGTATATACAGTTATTTAGATGTAAAAAATTATACTTTAATGTATGATTCCCATGTATTAAGAAAACGTAATTTTTGTAATTTTTGAAAATACATCTCATAATTGTAAATTGCATGTGATTATTATTAATACACTAATCTTTCTTTTTTTCTAATTTTTAACATAAAATTAATTGAAGGTGAAAGAATTGTACAGTTATAAAAAAGAAAATTCCTTTGACCTCTCCCAATAAATACCACCGATATCATAAATTTGTTTCCGAATTCCTAATACATTAGTCAATCATTTTATTCGTCATCGTTTCATGTCCAAACGACGTAATTTCGAACAATGACTTTACCCTTTTAGTTTGTACCTATTATAGTTATTCAGAGAATTCGAGGAACAGACGATTTGAATTTTTAATTCATCGCATAGTTCGAAGTTCATACCATCTGTTCCCATTTTCTCTGAAAATTCCAGCTGACTATCAGATAAACTGTGAGTCTTTTACCCCTTCTCTACAGGGTGTGTACATTTTAGGGGAACAATTCCTGTAGAATTCGAAGCACGTCCTGTTTGAATAGCTTTCAGTCGATGTCAATTAATTTGACATATGTTCTCGTGAATATTTCGATTTGATGCTACAATAAATCCACTTCGTGCAATCATTGTACTAATCATTGTCACTAAAAGAACATAATGAATCGTGATTAATTATTAGCAATTATTAGTAGAATTTTATATACCCAGTTTAAAATCCACAAGAAAATTATATTAATGACATAATTTTATGCTACCTTTCTTTTTGTGATTGATGATGATTCACTTATTAATAAATTAAACTTATCTTTCAATTTCCTACGAAACCTAGTTTCTAGAAATAATTGAAGTGAATTACAGGAATTCCTACTTAAAACAGTCAGGTTGACTAGCCCATAAATAGCATTGTTCACCTTAGCTGGAAGACAACGTATTATCTTGAATACTTCTGCTCATTTATTATTGTATTAGGTATGCTATTTTATTTTTACCTGAAATTTTTATTTGCGAAGGAAATAAAGTAAGCTAAGTATGATAGAGGACGTTAAATTCTTGTTGGCTTGAAATTTGTATGCTGGAGGATTCTTTTATTTAAAATTTGCAACAGGTGTGCCATGCCAGGTCGCATTAATTCTCTGGAGATGTACTGTAATTTTACAAACATGATATTTCCGACTCTTCTTGTTCACCAAGCAGGTGTCTCTCCCCTCTTTTCTCTCTAGATCAAAATCTTCCTTTCTTCCTTTGGGGCAAGCTTCGTGCAAGTTTCGACGGTTCTCTCTTCAAATTCCCTTTCACAGATTTTTGTTTGCATTTCTAAGATGCTGTCAACTTGGATTCAACTTCTCCCCCTTTAAAATTCTCAAGGGTAGACTCAAATTATTTTGTCCTTTTAAGAGAAATTTGACAAAACGTTTCCTTTACTTAAGTTCAAAACGTTCAAGTTAAATAGAGGCATTTTTAAGATAACTTGCAAAACTTTATCAGACATCATAAGAGAATGATTATTATTTGGAAAATACACGTTTCCAATAAAGAGAATTACAAAAAATAAAGCACGAACAAGGAAGATTGCAAAAAAAGCAAGATATGCTAAGTCAAGAAAAAAAAATAATAAATAAGTAAAAAAAATCACCATTCGAAAATCACAAAATGCGAAAAGTAAAAATCGTGGTCGCAGACCGTTGCATTTTCCAACAGCATAATTCAGGCCACTTTTGCGATAGAATATCGTTCACTAATGTAATTGGTGCATAACGTTTCTCGTATCAAGGGATCCGATATCCTTAATAACCAGTTTCTTCGATTTCCAAACAGGTCCCCAGATGCTGACTTATTAGAAACATATGCCGGCGTGCTGAACCTTAATGGAACCGGAATGTTCAAAAAGAAAACCACCCTCTCATCAACAATCCTCTATCGTCCAGTGAAATTAATTGCATCAAAGGAAATTGACTCAATTAATATCAAACCCAACTAAAATTTAATTGATGCAATGCAACAGTTTTAAAATTTAGAATTCTGTCTAGATAGTTTAGAAAACTATAGAATTATTAAATAAAAAAATTGTAAAATTATAAAAATTACAGAATAGAAAATTCATTTTGTTCATGCACATTTGAAGTTTACTCTAAATGTTTCACGTATTTCTGCATAAGATATGTATTCTGTAAATTTTCACACTTTCAAATTACCATGTAAATGCATAAACATTCATAGTCTATCAACGTCAACGTCGGTCATCACCTTTCAATGCGACGAGCAAAATAGAAAGTTGCGAAGCACGATGCAACAAACGTTCAGGCCACGATACACCTTCTTATCGTGGACAAGTTTGAAACTGACAGTCCCGTGATTTCTTCATGGACTTCCGTCTATATTGATGCACGAACATCCTGCAACCGCGAGAGAAACCACGATTACATTCGTACATGGCATACACGTAAGACTGACACGCGTTCCCCTGACGTTTTAGTCCAGTTTTGCATCCGGCACAGGTAGATACTGGGGAAAGGTCGAGCGGCTGACCTGAATAAGTTGATGGTTACGCAATAATCGTGGTGCACCAGCGGGCTTTTTATGCTAGAAGACTGGTCACCTTGCAGTGAGAATAGGCTCGAGTCCTGTATAAATTGATCGAAAGATAATCGAGATAATGAAACTAGTTTGTATGAGACGTGAATAATTCTATTTAAATGTAGAATGAGAAAAAGTTCTAGATGTAGATAAGTGTTCACTGTCTCAAGACGTGGAATATTCCATACGTATAAACATGGAATAAGAAAAGATTAAGAATGCAAGTGTTTAAAAGGATAGGGTTTTTGAAAATGAGGAATCAAATGATATTAATGCAACAAAAGAATAACAAAAAAATTTAAAAAATATTCTAATGAAAATTCTATTGAAGTATTTTATTACAAGTATTGAAATATTGAAGTGTACTATTAAAGGATTGAGGAATAGAAAATTTTGAAGAATACAAGTACTGATTAATTAATAATCCTAAAATATTAACGTTAAATGATTCCAGAATATAAGTTCTAGAATATAAGCATTGATTAATAAAAAATTTTAGATATCTATAAATTTCAATATTTCTATATGTAATAATACTACTCTAGTAATCATAAAGTAAATCATTCATCAACCATACTAATCAACATTTCATGCAACAATTCTAAAAACTCTCTAAAAACATACGTATATAAGAAAGAGAAAAGAAAAATTGTCCTTATCCGACGACACTGATTCCCTTTTTTCCGTGCAAGCATCAAATAATAGAATACCCTTAATACAAATACTCGAAATCGAATATCTCTTCAGAAAATCAGTCGTACATTGGACACGTTTTTGAAATAAATTTTTCTTCTGTGTGACAGGAGGAAAATGAAATCAATGAATGTCATAGTCGATCGATATTGTACGCGACAGATCGCGCATAAGGTAGATCCAACTCGCTACCAAGAGGGAACAAAGAAGGATTTTTCGAAGCGCCGATGCCTAGCAGCACCTGGAGAGTCCCGAGGTGAGGGGCCATTCGGGAGATAGGAACAGGCCGACGAATAATATTGGGAAGTGTGCAGCTGTCACAGCAGCTGCAACCCTCCTCCCTTTGCTCAAAATCTGACCGCCAGCTTTTCAGCCGCCTCCTCCTCATCCTCCTCTGCCACCTTCTCCTCTCGTTTGCCATCATCTCGTTCTCATGGCCTAACTTATGCCTCGTGTTCTCATTCCGATTCTCTTCGAAAACCATCCTAGCTCTTAATAACCCTTTGAATCGTGAATTTCCTGGAGGAAATTTTAATAGAAAATTATTTTCTAATTTTTTCATTCTTACTTGGTCATGAGATTTTCAGGCTGTTAAATAGTGCAGCTTTTCATTTGACTGTCAATGTTGCTCAAATGCAATGCTTATTTTAAGAATAAGTAAACTTTGTCTTTAATTGATATCCAACTTTTTTTTTTTCTTTTTGGTAAAGCTCTTTCGTTTTACTATTTCAAAATAATTCTGTATTATTCTATTCTGTTAGTTAAATATTATTCTTGAGAGCAAGCAGCTTTCAATAAAGATGAATTAAGAAGCTATTCAATAAAATAATAAATCAAACACTACTTCCAAACATCAAAACCTTTATCTTTCATTTGTTGTAAATTAACAAAGGGAAGCTAAAAGATCACTTTGCTTAACTCTCACTGAACCAAACAAATATTTCATTCCATAAAACAATATATGTGGAATGGAAGAATGAAAAATAAAGTAAATCACAACGCTTCGATGATAAAGGAACCCATCACGATGTTCTCACAAATGATTCCTTGAGAAAGAAAGAAAACTAAAAATAGGAAGAGCTGCTCGTTCACCGTGTCGAGTAAGCATCCCTTGAAAACGTGAAATGAATGTGCCCTCAGCACAGTTAATGGACTGGTTGTTCAAAGGGGACCTCCTTTCGTTTCCGAGTGAACATGTGGGTGTATATCTAGGCCAAGCTAGCTCCTCGTGCAAGGATCAACCCCCTATTTTTCAAAGCCAACCACCGAGACCATCCTCCTCCAGGAGGAATGCACGACGTGTAGATCAGCTGCTCCTTCTGTAAAGCTAAACTTCCTGCGCCACGTGCACATCTGCTGGTCTTCGGGCACCTGGTAGGGCAAATTTCATGGTTCTGGATGAGTATAACGTAGTCACGTACTGTGTGTGTGTGTGTGTGTGTCCTCAGGGCTCATCGGGACTCCGTGTATGACGGACGAAACATAATATAAATATTCTCGTGGTTAATTGCAGGTATACGAGATTCATCCTTTGTTTCGTGCTCTTGGGTATCTACAAGGAATAGTATTGTTACGTTATTGAAAGAAAATGTGTGAGAAGGTTTCACTGAGATGTATGTACTTAATATTGTTTTTCGTGTGTTGTAATTTATGGGCACCTGTGAATGAGGAATAAATGTTTTTCGTCACATGGACGTGTGTTTGAGTGGAGAACGAATAATAATAATTTTTAATTATTATTGGAGAACGAAGCTGGATAGTGATAGTTCTATGTTGATGACAGAGTAGAGCTTTCATAGAGCTTACTGGAAGCTTTTGTGCATTTAAATGCAAAGATATATATGGAATACGCGAAATTATGTAAAATATTTAAAAATAAAATGTTACAGTACTTAATAGATAAAATACATCTCTCTGCTTAAATTTTAATTCTTTAATGAAGTTTAATGAAAAATACGAATATTTAGCATAAATGCTAAATATAGATTTGAGATAGATTTGTTGTTCATTAACTGAACGAAACAATTGATTGAAATCTGAAGTAATTTTCCTTTAGAAAGAATGTTGGGAGAATTAATACCTAGAGCCATGAGATTTATTTTCCTTCGAGTCTCGAACAATTGCATTGAATTTCCTAACTGGTTCTAATTAACTTAAGTACTTTGTATAGTAGTTACAGAGGTTAAGCACGTAATCGTATTGGACAATAGCCAACAATTGTTTTAAATGAATACTAAACTCAACAATGCATTATATAATTCGTGAAATAAATACGTAACTAACATCAAGTTATATTACTAGTAATTTACAGGTAATTATTTAGCGTTTCATTAGTAGTCTCTTAAGCAGTTAATAATTATTAATTATAGAGCATGTCATAATAAATGTTAACAGATTCCATAAACACCTTTTAACCTAATCTAGAAATAAACTACCTTGAATTCATCAAGTACATTGAAATAAGTGTTATTTTGAATTAGTTTCAAATAGATCACCTCCAACTTATCTTTCAAAATTTTCTCCAAAACGAGTTGTAAATTCTTAGACATAAGGAAGTCCTAACATAATTTAATTTGGAATATTATTAATTGAAGTGCAAGTTTAAAAACTGTTCTATATTTGTAATATTCGAAAGTGCAAGAAATATATTTTCAATAAATTGAAACTTTTCATAATGTGAATTGAATATGTTGAATTGAGTCAAATTTATTTAAGTAAGTATTTCAGTCTACTCATTGAACGCTCTGAATTCATTATTCCCAAAAAGTTATAATTATATTTACTCCAAAAAACAAAAGGAAAAAAAAAAGAATAATTCATCATTCTGACAAATTACACTTATAATCCAGCGTGTTTAAGATATTGTTTTTAATTAACCCAGTCTTTTCATTCATCCAGAAAAGACTGTGGCTACCCGTTGATTCACTGGAGGGACTATTACGGAAGTCGGAACTATTATGACCGGTTTCGAGAGGCTGGTCGGTTATCCGGTGCAATTACATCGCGCTCGGCTCATCGCACAGTAGTCGTTAAGAAAATTCGAATCTTTCCACCATATGCTACACTCACAGCAACATAATTGAGCAAATAACGATGAAAAATTGTCGAAATTGTAAACTGTTATATAATTTCGTGAAAAATCAATCGTGTGACAGTCAATTTTAACACTAATTTTGAAGCACGATAAAA